CATTAAGTTGTCAAGCAGATAATTCGGTTAATCAATAAACCTAGCTTTAGATTTTTCCGTTGAATCTGTGATATTTCTCGAAAACGTTAGTTGTTTTATATTAAATATGTAATTTTGCAATCGAACAAACGAAAAACTACTTCAGTAATTTACTAAACTAATTCTGAAATCAAATGTTTCAAAAGTGAACTAATAAATTAATCAACTTAGTGTATTGAATATGGCTGATAGTACAATAGTTATTTGAATAAACTTATGTACTCATATGCAATTGATAGAAAAATCCAGTTTTAGATTAGGAGGAAAACAGTATCAGTAATAATACAAATAATGATGACAGTTATTATGTAAGTACTTTGCGATCCGAAACATAAAACGAGCAGAATAAAATGTTACTTCACAGTTAAAAATAGAGATAACAAACAAATTGTAGATGTTTAAAAACGTTAAATTAGTTTGATTAATTTAGACTAGCAGTATTTCTGTCTTATCGCTATTCACCAGTCAGAATTGTGTTTATCTGAATTCTAGATATTTTGTAGTGCATGCATAAAACCCAGTCAACATCAATCTCTGTTATTTTTTAATAATAGCTTTGGCAAATGTATATGAAAAAACAAACAGAGTTTAAAATAACTTCCGACTAACTTTAATCGATTTTAAACTGGAACACAAAAGGTGAATTACGGTACAAGAAAATTGTTCTCCCCCAAAGTACTGGAGTTTACTCACCATCTGTAAGGCAAAGAACTGTTTGATGATTTTTCTAGACCTAAGTACAGATAATTGACAGTTATTTCTGTCCTCCTCATCTTCAGACCCAAGAATCTGAAGTGGCTGTCATGTTTATGTTTCACCAAAAAGCTAAGATATAGCTCTGTGTTAAATCTGCTACTGTCAATAGTATGTATGCTTCAATTTATTCCCCAGTCGGTTTGTAATTTATATATATATATATATATATATATATATATATATATATATATATATATATAATAGGTTCAATAGCGCTGCTTGTTTTATCTTATCATTTCATTAATAAAAGCGCTTCGTATATTCTTATGACAAACAAATTATGGAGACATCTTAAAAAATAACTTCAAATATATTATCTAGGAAGTTTCAACGTATCTAATACATCAGCGAAGTAAGAATAGTCTTCCAGCTGACTGATAGATAATATGATAAGAATTGCTGCAAACTATTTCGCTAACTGTTGTGATAAATTACGATACAAACAGTTTATTACAGGCGATATTTACGCCAAACAAATAATATAATTGTATAGTTTCGAAAAATCATACATACACTATTGACTTGACTGTTCGAGTATTGAGAATTGAATGAATAAACAAGCTTTACTTTATTAACTCGCATTCCAAGCTTTTCTATCTTATGTTATATTTTCCATGGTTACTTAGCATAATTTGAAAAATCACGGAGGATCACGAACGGTCTATAAATTCGATTGGAAAACAATTTATACGAATATTCGTCAAGATCATAACGAATAGTTTGACAGATATTGGGGGCCGAGTATAGAGAAGTCATTATAAATGTAAATTATATTTGAAATAATCTCAGCGATTGAAATTTAAATAATTCCAACGTTTCGTCCAGCTGACTTGTCTGGACCCTGAAGAAGTCCAGACAAGTTAGCTGGACGAAACGTTGGAATTATTTAAATTTCAATCGCTGAGATTATTTCAAATATAATTTACATATATAAGGTCTATAAATTGTTCATAAGTTTAGGTCAGAAGCGTTATTTTGTGGGTACCTGAAGCGAACTTATATACTATTTGCTTTTGAAGTATGAAGTTTAAGTACAAGTGAAAAGTTCTTCGCTTCATTCTTGTAGAAATTCTGAAGAAATAAATTGAGCTAATGTTTATTTTCAAATATAGAACATGAAATTCTCTTGGTGATTTTTGTATCACTTTTAAGTACATAATTCATCTAATTGTATGATTTTATCAGTGTAAGCCTCCACTAAGTAAATGTTTTTTTACCGATACTTAACTCAGAAGCATTAACACAAAACTACTACTGGTATTAACATTATAATAAATGTTTTATAAGTCTATCATAGTGCGCTGTTATATCATTGAAGAATAATCAATTTTTCGAAAACTACTGAGACAAGTCGCATACAGCTAGAACCCCCAACACGAAGTAATATTTAAAACAATTAGTCTCTATGACATATTTCGACAATGCAATGAGAAGACGAAGGTTATCAGAATTATGTGATATATTTGCACAATACATTTCGAACAGTGTGATCATGCACACATTTACAAGACATTTTTATATAAAAACTAAAAGGTCAACTAGACAGATTAACAAAGAAAAATAAAGTACATAAAAACAATGTGGAAGGAGCAATCATGATCTGCAAGTAAAGGTGGAGAAACACATACCTAAATGGCTGCAAAAACAAATGAATTTCAATGGTCAAATAAGATCACAGGATAGACAGACATCTTCCTCCATTGAGAAACATTTGGTTGAGACTGGTTATAAGGTTGTTGTACGAAAGCCTTCAAGGACGTATACTAAGGTTTATTGAAGCCTTGGCTATACAGAAACTGAAACCCCCTTTGTGCTCAAAAACAATTTGTTCTTACACTTAACCTACCTTGGTAATACTGACTTATTATCCAGAGTGGTTATCATACTATTTTTGTGTAAGATGTAATATTATTGGTTACATTTGAGTGTGGATTTGAACAGAAATACGATCAATTCGAGGTCATTAAAAAACCTAAGAATTCTAAGAAAATTATAAGAAAAACGGTTTTTCTTCTAGTCAATTTTTAACCACTTTAATAGCAACCCTACGTAAGTACACAGTAGTGTATGTATACCACCAATACAATCATGAAGACAATATTCTGATCAGGAAAAATAGGGAAGTTTTTATTGTTGTTAGTGTATTAGAAATGAAGAAATAACAACGAACAGAAATAATGAAGACATTTATTCTGTCTTATTATACTGCTATTAACTTTGTACATTAATCACTATCAATTCTGATTATACACCAACTCCAAGTTTTTCGATTCAACACAAAAAATTACATTAATTTCATTTGAAAAGAACTGTTAATCATAATGGCTTCGTATTGAAATTCACCTAGTCTACACTTGACTTGAAAATTATCAGAACTTTCCTTTGCATTAATTTAGGTTGTAGATTTGAGAAAACTAACAGAATCTTGGCAATATTTTATCCTGTGGGTATAACAAGCATTTACTATTTTGCTTCAGCAAACCATCGGATGTCAAGAATTTCAAGAACAGTTGGTAAACAATGTATCGTATGATACAAAATTGATTATAACCTGAGTATCAGTCACGATACAGCTAACAGTTTCCTCACTGACATATTTTCGCGACATTTTCCTTGTATGAAAGTACCAGACGTCAAAAAAATTCTCAGAAAAATGAAACTTAAAATGTTTTTGAATGTTCCCATACTTGATGATGACTTGTTTATTTGATAACTAAAACAATGATGTAGCGTCATATATGATTAGAACGTAATGCATTAACTCTAGTGATACCAAAGAATCTGTTTGACGTGTAGTTCTTTGAGCAATAATCTATCATCACGACAAATGAAAGAATGATACTTATGTAGTGTCCAAACTTGAATTTTCAAAAACCTCACTATCAGTTTTCTTATCAGGAGTCTACCGATAATTATGGAGCTGTTCAGATGTAAAAATTTCAAAATAAACGCTGTGGTACCGATTCAGCGAATCATATTTCAATCAGTGAACGAAATTAAAATTATGATTGAAAATATCACTAAGTGTTTAAACAACACTAAGTAATCATCTTTCCATGAATTTCATTAATATTTACTTTTGATCGTCTATATTTATCAGGTTATTCTGTCACAGACATGTTTTCTTTGATACCTAGCTTTCCACAGATAGGGACTCTACATTCTATAATAATAGATTTTGGCTAATAGAAAAACAAGTATATGTGCACGGTAGGTACTTTAGGCACATTCATCCACGCTTAATGGTCAATTAATACAAGGTCCAAAGGTGACTTGTCACTCATGGGACTAACTGTTTCCCATATACTAATAGTGTTAGTCGATATGTAAAGATATAGATAAGGGGACTCTTTGACAGTTTTTCAAGGCTTCGATTATCCAACTTGTTAATCATAGAAATCCCTTCTTCTTTTCTAGCTGGATTATGCTTACGTCTAGCATTCGTAATCTCAAATACATAACTTAAGTAATGATACCTAATCTCCGACAAACTTGGTAACCAGTATTCCTCATGTCTGAGAAAAGATAACTGTCAAAATTTAACAAATAAACAATCTATCACCAAATAAAGTCATATTGTTTGATCACAAACAGTTCACGCAATCTTTTTTTAGCTTTAGGATGTAAGCAGAAGTTTAAAAATCATTAGTCAATGGAAAAAGTGAGCTCATATACAATGTATAAATGGGTCTATCTATATACAAATTTCCATAGACACTTATCAAGAGTTTATGAAAATTACTTTTCTATAGGCTTCAGAGGGTTACTGATGTTGCATAATTAAGGTTTTATTTAACGTCCAAAATATCCTAATATTTTAACTGATTTGATTGAACATCTAGTTAATGTCATCTATAAATTGAAAGTCCATTAAGACTACTGGATACAAACAGACAAATTATTTTGTATAATATTCATAAAATTGATGAGATAAAAATCTTCAAGTGCAGTGGTATAATTATCAAAACTTATTATAATATTCAAGCCAAAGTAACACACTTCTCAAGCGAAGTATATCGGACTACAATAAGCTGCCTGTCGATAGACTAATTAACATATGGTATGTGACATCTACAGGTAAAAAAAATCAACGCATGGAATACTATGAATGTTTATGTGTTTGTTACCGATTCGGAAGATGGCTTATACAAATCAGCTGGAAATCATCACCTCAAATAAGTTCTTTACAACTTTAAAAGGTCATTGACACAACTACATAGCACATTTTTATGCTGGTTAGGAGATTTCGGATTTCCCCTTATAACCTGTGAAAACAAAGGAAATCAGTTGTGCGAAGTATTCTATTTTAAACAGAAGTATGGTGTGTCACCTGATTTCATAGTTCTTCAGTTAGTTATTATTAAACTGAACGACATTTACCAGGACATATGAGAATATTCTACAAGATGTGAAGAAACCAGTGCTCTAGCACAACCATATAGACCAATGTTGATGCAACTTCAGCTAATAAAGGTTAAAATAAAGTTAAGTGAATGACCAGCAAAAATCACCTTGTAATGTTGGTTTTTATTTAGCACAGTAAAATAAGCATTAGTAACCAATTTAACAGTACCATAAAAACTGATGCACTAAATAGATATGTATCATGATATTCTTGAGAAAATTGTCAGAAAACAAACTGGTATTTCAATCCATACCATAAGGTTACAGAAACAGAAATACAGAGAAAGTTTCCTACAAACATTTTATCACAATATAGCTAGTAAGTAATGAAACAAATATATATATATATATATATATATATATATATATATATATATATATATATATAATAGAGAGAGAGAATGTAAATTGTACACACCAACAGAAAAGTTAATTTGACAAGCGAAGCTTCAACATAGCAAAACGGAGAAGGAATAGAATAAACTCGACCGAGTAGAGAAAAAAATAAACGAAATTAAAGCGACAATAAAGATACCAATTATTCATTAAAATTAACATTCAACAATTACAATTTGGTAATAGTCTTATCGTCTTTTATTCAATAACTTTTCTATTCTTCCTTTCCTATCTGTTATTTGCTCGCGCTCTTCTATTGGTGAAGATGAATCGAAGGGATTCATTGAGATCGATACAGGCTGCTTCGATTTTTGATGCTGATTATTTGGAGAGTTCGGTGTGGCTACAAAAGAACTCGTAAGAGCAGTGGTGGTCGTGGTAACTGTCGTTATCCCCGTCAAAGCTACGTTACTAATCGCAGTACTAATAATAGTGCTAGTAGTGATAGCAGTATCTGCAATAGAACAAAATAACGTTACTTCAGGTGTTTTTTCTTTCATCGTTGACTTAAATTCATTTCTACTACGAAATATTTCTAAAATTAACTGTTGTTCACTGAATTTCACACCCTAAAAGAAAAGAAAAACTTAATAGTATTAATTAGTTAATTTGCAAATAAAATGAAAGATTTTAACTGCGAAGTTCGCGACGACACTAGTTTCAGAAAACAGTGAAGAAGAGGATTATATAGATCTTGTCGAGTATTCGAATAAAGGATCTTAAATGTAGTACGAGTAAATCTTACTGTACTTCAATAAATTAGCAGCATGTTGTATTTTCCAAGTCAACTGGATTCCGAACAAGGACTAAAATCGATTACAATGAGAATTTTCAAAAATGATTCCCATTTTGACAAAACCACCGAAAGCTAGTAGATTCAGAGTGAAAACATTTAACTAGAGTTTAGCGAAATCGCTTGTGTGTTGCTAAACTACTGAGCAAGCAGTGCCTAGGCTTCAAGCATATAGGAAAACCCAAGAATAATCAAACTGAGACATTAGAACACTACCAAGTTGTCAGTTTTCGATTTGGAATCTCGCGAGGCGGGATCGTGGATGCGCACTGCTGAGGAGTCCCACAATGGGACGAAACGGCCATCCAGCAAGATTGCCACATACTTCTATTCTCAGCCATGTCTAGTAACGTCTCAGGCCACTAGGTTTCATCATCTCTAGGACTCCAATCAGGTAGTTGAGAAGGACCAACAGAAACCAGTTCTATAGATTTTTCTTTTATACCACGACACCGTGTCATATATTGACCACCTCTCCGCTTTCTCCATCTGATCTCAGCATTGACAAATAATACATGATATGGAATTCGCCGGGATGACATTCGTAGTACACATCTAAGCCACCGAAGTCAGTGTTTCAAGGTGTTGACACTAATTGAATTGTCATCGCTGTGTCCGAACATACGATGCTGAACCTCTGCATTACTAACATGGTGTTGCCACTAGATGTCAACAATCCTTCGGAGACAACGATGATCAAACAAAGAGAGTCGTCTAACATCCTAAACTAGGAAAGGCCAGGTTTCACAAGCATAGAGCAGAACTGCTCCCATCGACGCGTTGTAGATCCGACCTTTTACAGCCAGGCTGACATCACGAAGGCGCCAAAGGTGGTCCAGATTGGCATAAGCCTCTCTGGTTTTCACTGTACGTGCATCTATCTCATCACTCATGCCACCACCAGCACTTATGCAGCTACCCAGATACACGAACTTTTCGACTACTTCTATCTGCTCACTATCCAAGGTGAGTACATGATCAGGGGCATACCAGTCCTGTAAAAGTACTTTACATTTCGAAGGTGCAGAGCACATGCCATACCAACGGACACTAATTGCCAACTGACTAAGTGCGGATTGCAGGGCTTGGGAATTAACGCACAGTAAGACAATACCATCGTCATATTCCAAGTCGAGAAGTCTTTCTTCAGACAACAGGTTCACACCACCATTACCTACACCCATCAGAACTGTTTCCAGAATGTCATCGATAGCAAAGTTGAAGAGAAATGGTGAGATTGGGCAACCCTGACTCACCACACTGCTTGAATGGAACATTGGAGAGAGTTAGTTATGTACCCTCACTCTGATGTATTAGTATGTAGGGCTTTCAAGATGTGGATGAACTTCTTAGGCACACCCTTCAATAGACAGTCCTGTTCAACGAATCGAAGGCGACCCTAATGTCAAAAAAGTCTAAGCTTGTTGGCCTGCAATAAGTATGGTGGTTTTCTAACATTTGCTGAGGTGTGAAGGCATAATCAACACATTCTCGATCAGGACGAAACCAGCCTGGTCTTCACAAGTCGATCTTTTACGGGCTTTTAACAATATGAGAAGTATCACAGAAGCCAATAGTTAGGACGCAATCGGAAGTAGACTTATCCGCTGATAAAAGCGACATGGGTGAAGTAAATCATTTTTAAGGATATAGATGACTTTCGTCTCATTCCACGATGTTGGTACACTCCCTACATGCCAAACGTTTGCAAACAACTCAGTCGCATAAGCAGAAGATCACTATCATTCTTAAAAACGGGCCTTTTGACTTGTGGCGCTCCCACAATTGGAATTCCTTACGGAGTTAAGCCTTGTTCGGTCGATAAATGATCGATTGGTACAACTTAAGAGGATATCTAAAACTTCCTGTACTCACACTGTTGTTTCAAGTATGTATATTAGAATTCAAACTCGCTAAGTATGCTGAGTTTCTCATTGCTTTTGTTTATTACAATTCCACTCCAACATTTAAGCAGTGACAAAGCTAACAACAAATAAAATACAACAAGGACTGGTAACTGGTCAGCACGAATCTTAGGTGATTACAACGGGAAAGGTTTACAAAACCGTGTTACAAATCGCAACAGGGTGAATGTCAAAAGAAGGAAACACTATTTAGCTGACTGGACTATTCTAAATGGGAGAAAATGGACAAAAATCATGATCAAAACATGATTATGAATTCTAATTAATTCATATTATGATAAATGAATGAATGATTTATTATTATTATTATTATTATTATTATTATTATTATTATTATTTAAACACGTTAGCATTGGTGCAAGGAAGCACCAAATAGATATGCTCCACATAAATCATTCGATTTGTGTGAGGGCTGAGATACTGCCCGGGTGCCTGCTTCGGTTTGGGTGCCCCTGTTTCTACTGATTCTTTAATTAATAGAAAAGTAATGGTCGGTTCTGCAATCGTCTAAAATTCTGTCACGGTCGTTTTGAAAAATGTCACCAGTGAAGCGAATCTAACAGCAGTAATGCTTACGGACAAGTATCTATTTAGCTACATCAATTTAATTTCCGCTCGATTGTATTGATTTTCAGTATTTGCTGAATATCGGTTTTGCGAAGGGGCCTAAGTCAAGTTCCTCCGCCAATGGAGCGCATAATATGACTGATTTAAGGAAATACAGTGAACGATTAAATTCAGTGGTATTTTTGTAAATATAACTTGAAAACAGTAAATGATTGCGGAATATAATTATTTTCAGAAAACCATAAGTTGTCCATTATATTGCTTACTTTCATATCCAAAACATTTTGTAGATCAGTTTGAGTTAGATCAGGTAATAATTGTTCGTAACTAGCTAAAAATACATTAGCTGCATTTGTATCAACTGGACCCATTACAAATCCACTTGGAGGAGTTGCCGACTCTTGTTTTCCTGGTGTAGCGACACCGACTGGTAACATAACTGCTTTGATTATACGTTCCGCCTTCCCCATACCTTCATGGACTAGATTTGTAAAGCTTCGTGGAGGTGTCTGAGTAAACTATAAATAATGTAAATTGAAAGCTTCTAGACTAATTTTTTTAATACAAACATCTTAATACTGAATAGTAAAAGATTTAAACTAAATGTAGGACATTTAAAATTGATTTTTAACACAATACTGAGGGAAAAGACTGTGTCGATATATTCGTCACAATAAACAAATCAGTGAATTAGTTAGACAAGAAACCCATACTTTCGACTTGTATCTGATATATCTAATACTAAGACGCTTGTAACTAACTTCTCAATCGCTTCCTAGTCTCCTAAATATCTCCTGCACTTAAATCTCAAATGGGAAACAAAAGAAAGTATGAAATGAATCCCTATTTCCAGGGCTGGTTTAGGTACAATAGATTAGAACATTTATAGGTGTGACTTTGATATTTCGGAAACTTCTGAAAACATGCCAGAATTGATAATAAAATCGATAACAACCCTATCAGCACATGATACATAAACCGCCGTATTTCTTGAAGTCTCTGCTGAATGCTTTTTCCAGCTTCTGAAGACCTGTCTGAAGGTGTAGTGTCTAGTACTATGTTGAGCACACACAAGTTATTCTGGATTCCGGATAGACCAACTAATTTGTTCTTCTTGAGTCACATTTTGACCTCAATTATTCACTCACAAAATTGGACTGTTTTTATATGAGCGTATGCGTGTCTATCGCTTACCCAATTCATCACATGTATTTAGCCTATTTTTGTCCAGACATAAATATTGAGTCACGCTTCATCAAATTGAGTTGGCACACTTGCCTTCTCAGTTTCACTTTGTTTTCCCGTTGTTCATCCTTAATGTTTATCCGAACAAACGATTCCCTGAAATAAATTCATCCTGCTTAACCGATATTTAGCTTCTTATTACCGCCTTCTGACAAACGGGGTTAGCTTAGGTGTAATATACAAAGTTAAATGGAAGATTTATATGTACGGTATGTACATACGTTCATCCAAATCAGAGTCAGATCCACTGGCCACTAAAAAGGAAAATAATAAAAAAATGTTTTTACACTTTGAGAAGTCACTGAATGTGATATCTATACGTTGGGCGTTAGCGTTCGGAAATGAGCGGAATTATAAGAAAATAACAAGGTGATGCTTTATAATTTAATGTCTTCTGTTAATTGTAAAACAAAAAGTGATCAGAAAGTAGACTCATGGTTAGTTCAGTCAGTCAACTAAATCTTAGGACCAGGCACATATATGCATAGGTCCAAGTTGCCACACCTCATTAGGACGAGATGAACACCAAATTCATAGAAGCAGTAACTTCAATGGTGGTAATATATAAGTATAAGAATATGATACAGGCAGAAAGAATTAGTTCGTAGAAAGAAAGGTACAAAGTAATTTTAATCTCACTGTTTAAGGGAAGACAAAGAGTGTATACACATACTTCATTGTGATCAATTCTGAGCCATGTCACCAAGAGTCTCCAACCACTGGTTACGATAGTCGCGCGGACCCCAAAAAAGTAGTCTGCATCTACCAGCATGACTCAGACAATAAGTTAGTGACTTGAAGAGTTTGCTGCTATTAGTGTTACCTCTCTTCAACCGACCTTTCTGACCTTGAGGAATGATTGTTCCAGTCAGTATAACGCGATTGGTTCATTACGATAGGCAAACCCGATCACCATGTCAAGGTAGCAGCAACGGTCATGTGAGTCTTTCATGGTTAGTTAGTTCATAATGCATGGCAGAAAACACAACAAATCATTTATGCCATTGATGTAAGACAATAGAACGTTGGTGTAGTACCCTAGTCCATAATTATATACATAATCAAAACAACACAGAATATTAGCTTACCTTAGCTCCAAGAAGAGGCATTTGAAGAAGAGAAGCCTTTAACGATTGGGTATCCAATAAAAGCTGTTCAGCTCCAAAAGTATTGACCGGTTTGCAACGATATAAGGCATTAACGAATCTCGCAATCAATGCATCAGCAAATTTTATACATATTTGAGTGAAAGCTGGCCTAACAATACATAAAAAAGATATCATAAGACGATTGTATGCGACAAAGACGTTATTAACATGTACAGAAAATAGATAAATTACCTGACGGTGTACAATGTTTCTCGTATTAATGGGATTTGAGTGCGAAGATGATTTACAATGGCTGTAACATAGGCGCTTTGGTCTCCAACTTGTACAAGATTATTCCAAGGTAAACGTGCCATAGCGACTAGCTGAGGTTCAACACCAGCTTCCAAGTCTGCAACCAGGCGGTGGACACAAACAGATCTACAAGTTGCTAAACCATCAAGTTCAGAAGCAAATGATATTTTTGAACCCCAGCTAGGTGGTCTGATCTAATATAAAAATCAGAAAATAAATGAATTTCATATGACAAATAAAACGTCACAATTGATAAACACGACTATTACTCACATGAAATTGAAATAGGACAATAATCGCCTAGTAAATAAATTACAAACAACTGTTTACCAACTATTCTTATAATTAGAAATCTAAAAGCATATAGAGTACACTCAATGAACTATGAAAAACCCTACGATGTAAAAATCAAGTGTGAAATAGAAAGCTTCATAAACTACTTTAAACGAAAGAATCCGAATATTAAGTCAGCTAATCTGAGAAAACTTTTAAAATAATGTAAGTGGCACTAAACAAAGTTAAAAGGGGATCCAAAGTGGGAGAAGTATCCTTACAAGTTCATACCGCAATGGTAGGGTGGGATCAACAAACGAATATTCCACCTTCAATGAATAGCTGAAATGATCCCACCGATTTTACGTTATCTAAAATTGCAATCAAAGAAAACTGAAGATCATTCATTAGTATCTTATCCTAAGGTTTTCGATTTCGTCTATATTTTCAACTGAAAGTTCTAATCATTAAGCAAGAAACCATTAGTCACAATGATACAACTGGAAACCTAGCTAGCTCAGGGTTGCTTATGCATTAAACACGGACTTACATTAATAAATTCATATACTTTTTAGTTGACCAAACAAAAGTGAGTGGGATGAAACATATGGGATACCATTTATGATCTTAAAGTCTGGATAGATTTATGACCACATATTTTATGAAAATCGAAAATCCATTTAAAATGATAGTACCTTTTAGCACGTCTGATTAACAAAAGTTTAATTTCATCTGTATAAAACAAAACGATAATAATATCTGTGGTATAGTTTCAAAAAATTAGCAGACTGAATGATATAAACATGGTTTCTTTATACAAAAAAAATGATTATAGCTTACTTCATGTTTTAGACGCTTCTCCAAATCCTCAACAGTCTTCAGACAAAATGCTGCTGTAACAAGTATGACACACACCTTGTAGACATCATCCTTACTCAGTCGAACTCCCTGAAGAATGAAAATATTAAGCGTGTATTATTATTAGTAGTAATATGATCTTACTCGTAAATTATCTGTGAAGATTTATAGTGCAATTAAAACGACGTATGAACTTACAGAGTATACAAATATTTTTTTAAAGATTAATACATGAACGAAGAATATTCTCATTGATAAATTATTTTCAGGTTCTACAATTATATATCAAAATTAATAATCCGAAAAGTGGCAAGGTTTAGAGCAAAGTGCATCGGTTAAAGTTATAGCATGTGAATTTAGGATTATTAATGTTGATACGGCTCATACGGAATGTTAACTTGAATCAGCTTATATGCTAAGTGAAATTTTAAGATCCATGATCAGAATAAATATGGGTCAGATAGGGTGACGGAAATAATAGTGCAATTACAAATTCAATCAAATGTTTAGTGGAAGACTATAATGTGTAAAAAAAAAATTAGTACGGCATAATAAAGTGGGATGAATGCGAAATAAACGAATCATGTATTTGGAAGATTAATGATGTTAAGCCAATAATAATAACAATACAAAAATATGTGAATAAGGATAATAGAGACAATTTTATTTTTATGATCAAAATGGCGGTTATTGTGGAGATTGTGGTGCACACTGTTGAGGAGTCCTATACTAAGACGAAATGGCCGTCCACTGGTTCCAGATTTTTAATGGTGGTCCAGCTTACATCGACCAATGAATTCGACTATTACAACTATAACTAAGAAAGGTTGTAAGTACAGTAGTCAAATCAGGCCATTCAATAGCTAAGGTTACTATTGACCATGGAGTTGGTCAGGGGAGGTTGAAGATTTATATTTTATACTTGTAAAACACTGTTAAGGATGTATTCCGATTTGTTGATAAGATCGATAATGCAAATACTATGGAATAAAAGATGATGTCTTTGGATATAACATCATTATTCACAAATGCTCCACTCATGGAGACTGGAGAATATATATGTGAACAAATTGGAGAAAATGAGATCGAAACTACAATTCCATTCAATGTCGCAAAATAGTTATTACTGAAATGCACCATGAATGTGAATTTAAAGTTCAGCGCAGAAATCTATAGACAAATGGATGGAATTGCGATGGGCTCTATACTAGGTGACATTTTTCTAACCAAACTAGAAAATGGTCCATTCAAAGATTATTCAAAATCCACATTTTACTGTCGATATACGGATGGTAACGTTCATCCTTTGTAAAGATAGTACATCACAACAAGAGCTTAACGTCTTGAGTAATACTCTTAGGGAAGAAGAATACTCTGAAGATTTTATAAACAAATATATGATTACGAAGGTTAGAATAGGAGAAATACAAACGGCGAATAAGAAATCCCTGTTCATGTGCCTACAATTCCGAGGGAACGCTGCTAGTGAAATATTAATTCAGAGATTACACAGAACGATCCAAAAATCACTCGACCCCGAGAACTACGATTAGTGTTTTCTACGCGCTCAATGGTTACATTGAGTCTAAAAGATGAATTACCTGGAATCACCACCTCATTTTGTATTTATCAGTTTGACTGCCCTTGTGGAGAAAGTCATATTGGTCGAAATTCTAGGAATTTACATTTTCGTGTTCGCAAACACCTCCCAACGTGGCCAAGCAAAGATCTAGTGAAGAAAGTGAACAGTTCGATATTGGCGCATTTAGTGCAAACTGGTCATAGTGCCAGTACAAACTAATCCTTTCCAATTAATTATCGGTTCAGTAACTTTTTTCCCAAAACCTGTCAGACTCAAAGTCCCTCAAATGGTTGAAGCAATAGCCATCCGGGTTAAGAAACCGGAGCTAAAACGATATTTTTAGGGAATTTAAAGTAACAAACAAATCAAAATCCCAGTTGTAATGAACTCCATAGTAGCATCCTGATATTAAACAATTCAGGGAAGCGGGTGCAGACATGAATATATATGTGAATACATCGGTCACTATCATTCGCAACGTAGAACCTGACACGTTCATCGGATCAAGTTACCACACCACAATAGCATTATTAAGACGAATTTCATAGTTGTAGGAGTAGTAACAGTATCCGTAGCAGTATATATATATACCACTAGATTCAGCACTTAAAATGTAGGTATTCTTTTGAGAGCTATTCACGAGGGAACGTCGTATTAGTAGTTTACCATACAAATAAGAAACTTGGTGAAAAGTTTACTGATGTCAAAATCATTCAGCTACTTCTAGATAGTTACATAGTTATCACAGAGATTGATGTTTCTCCTTAATTTTTGATATATTCAGGACAGCGACGGTATTACTAATTAAATGGAAATGAAATACTGAAATATTGTTGTAATAGCTATCATATTCATGGTTTATTCTAAGTTTTTTTTATAACATTATTTATGAAGCAAGTCGAAGTGGTCATGTAAAGCTTTAGTAATTTACGCAATAATTAGGGTGTCAGTGAAAAAAGACCTTATTACTAGTGTTGGTATTATGGTTTTACACAGTTGATATCTCTTGGTGCTGTTTACCTCTTAGTGTACAGTTATAAAGTGTAGCAGCTTGTAAACTGACCATATAATGCCTTTACCTGGTGTTTGGCTTGAATTTCAAATAACAAACAACCCATATTTTTTCACACAACAATCTTTAATAAAAGTCAATATTACAAATAAACCATTTACTTTTTTCCAGTCTAATTAAGTATTTATTGCATTATCCTCAAGATTGTATTAGGTAATCAGTATAAGAAACTACGGGAACGTCTAAAGATGGGTACAAGTGTACAGTGTGGAACAAATAATCAAAGATTTTGGAAAATATAGTTTTCTTATGATTGTGTATAAGTACTTTACACCTTATAAGACAGTAGTGGAAGAAACAAAACGTTAGAATAACATAATTAATTTCATAGTGATGATAGAAGTTCATTTGATTAAAAGTAGTTTGAAACTAATGAAGTCTAGATTAAGTAAAGTGGCTAGATTTGCCTAATGGATACACAAATCAGATTCCCTCGAAGTGATCCTTATGGTTTTAATTATGCGTTGCTGCTACCCCGACCGTTGTTGCTATCTTGACGTGGTGGTCGGGCTTGCCTATCGTGATGAACCGATCGAGCTATAGTGGCTGGAACAACCGTTCCTCAAGGTCCTACCATACCAGACAGGTTGGTTGAAGAGCGGTAGGACTAAAAGCAACAAATCCAAGGTCCGAAGGCGAAGTCGTACTGCTGACTGTACTGGGGTGTGACAGCAGTAAGGTGTTTCCTTTAGACAACCAGCATAACAGCGATGCCGCCTTCCCACAAGGAGGAGTGGGGTTAGAAAACATCGACCCTAAAAATGCACACCTCGCCTTATCCCACGGATATCCGTCTCCGGCGGTAAGGCCTCAACAAGTACGGAGCTAACACAAAAACTACTAATAAAAAGGCCATGTGTGACCGACCTCAAGCAGCTGTACCTTGGGCCCTGCGGTCACTAAGATCACCTCTAACCCAATTTCCTTTTCAGGTACCTCTAGAAGAACCCTTCCACGGTGTGAGCAACCGGGAAGTCATAACCGCCCTCATACCTCTAACAGCACTCAAGACCACTGTATTCATAATCAACCTACCTCCTCAATTCCTATTATTCCTCCTACATCGACTTTCAAATCTAAGCTTCCTCTTTTGGTTTCCTCCTCAACTGTCCCCATAGCCAACGATTCTTGTGCGCAAAACACTGTCCTAGGCCTACTGAAACCTCGCTCCAAACCACACATTGGAGCCTTCAACTTACACACCTATGTCAAATCGCCCAGCAAGCATCCTTGGCTAAAACCCTAAGATCTTGTACCGTTGATGCATGCTGTCTCCGAAACACGTATACAGGATTCTAGTGTGGTCATTCACTTAACCTCACCTCGGCGAAACGGAGAGCCGACGAGATACACCCTTCGTGTATCTGGCGACCCGATGGCTAGTTCTCGTGGACTGGCAGGTGTAGGTATAGCACTAAGCATGAGGGCGGAACAAGCGTTATTAGAGTGGATCCCCGTAAACAGTCATCTATGCGCTGTTCGGCTAAACGGCTCCGTAAGAATTCGGAAGGATAGGGACACACGTCGTTGCCTTTTCGTTGTTTCTGCCTACGCTCCTACTGACTGAAGCTCGGATGAAGTGAAAGATGAATTTTACAGAAAACTCGCTGAAATTCTTCAGAAAGTTAAACGTTCAGACATAGTACTCGTAGCAGGTGACTTTAATGCCCAAGTAGGTAGCTTAAACGAAACAGAAAGACATTTAGGTAGGTATTTTAGTATTCCGGCACAGCGAACAGATAATGATAATCGTTTGCTGCAACTGTGCTCCGACAATCGTTTATTTTTAGCAAACACTAATTTAATGCATAAGGAGAGATATCTAACATGGCGGCCCCCTGCACCAAACAAATGATGGACTCAAATAGACCATATTGCCATCAGTCATCGTTGGAGAGGGTCGATAGGAGATTGTCGCTCATTCTGGGGTACCTGCTTGAACTCTGACCATTCTCTAATACGGGCACATATCTGCTTGCGCCTCACTGGACGCAAAAAATCCATACTAAAAAGACCCATTAGAACTGAATTGAGTAACGAGAAAACCAAAAGTAGGTTCCAGTAACAACTGAGGTCACATTTAGGCAGTCCTGAAAACGAGGCTGACCCAGATGTTAATTGGAAAGATATACAATCAGCTGTGGAAACTGCTGTGACATCTGTTAGTGATCTAAACAAAAGGGTTACAAAAAACCAATGGATTTCTTGTAAGTTTATTGCACTGATGGATTCTCATAAACTCAGCCCATCAGGCTCTGAACACGATAAAGTGCGAAATCAAATCAGATCTAGGTTAACCAAAAGTCTAAGGAATGACCGTGAACAGTGGTGGGCAACGAAAGCAAAATAAATGGAAAAGGCGATGGCTGTAGGTAACACCAGACAGCTCTTCAGACTAATAAAAGAAACTGGAACTAAAAAGTCAAGTGTAAGTGAGACTATCTCGGAAAAATATGACACTTATCTGCTCCTAGTCCAGACGTTTAGAACGATGGACAGAACATTTTAAGGAGCAGTTCAGCTGGCCTTCAGCTACTCTACAACTACCCACCATTCCCAGACAGTGTAAATGGAACATAGAAGTAGGTCATCCAAATCTAGCCGAAGTTCAAAAAGCTATAGTTAATCTGAAACGAGGAAGGGTACCTGGTTCAGATGGATTAGCCCCAGAGGTCTTTAAGGATGGTGGTCCAATTTTAGCGACTAGGTTGACTAATATTTTAGCTCAAATCTGGAAGCTGGACGTAATCCCCTCTGACTGGTCACAATCATTGACTGTCCATATATATAAGAAAGGATCAAAATCATCCTGTGACAACCATAGAGGGATTAGTTTAACTAATATAGCATCTAAAATACTAGCCTCGATAATTATCAAACGCCTAACTAAGACTCGTGAATTGCAAACACGAGAGAATCAAGCTGGCTTCAGACCTGGTCGTGGCTGCATAGACCACATATTCACCATTCGTCAGGTTCTAGAACACAGGCATACTTATCGGCGTCCGACAATGGTGGTCTTTCTTGACAGCATTTGACTCCGTAGACCGAGAGGTTCTGCGGCAGTGTCTGTCATTGAAAGGCGTACCTCAGAACTACATAAACCATGTGAAGGCTCTTTACTCGAACACTATCAGTCGTCAGAACTTATGGCGAACTGTCATCTGCTTTTGCAACTTCAAGTGGTGTCCGTCAAGGCCTTCCACTCTGTTTTGTTTAACTTCGTCATAGACATACTGATGGAAATAACCTTCTCTTCCACTGAAATCTCAGGCATTGAACTCCTACCAGTAGGTCCACTTATCGACTTAGAATATGCAGATGACATAGCCCTGTTTGGTGAAGACGGTGATAAAATATAATCTTTTCGTAGCGCTAATCAACAATGCCAGGATGTTTGGGATGCGCTTCTCTCCCTCTAAATGCAAGCTGTTACTTCAGGACTGGCCTGCATCAACATCCGAACCAAGGATAGGGAATGAAGTAGTCGAACTCGTCGACAACTTCACTTATCTCGGAAGTCTGATCAGCCCTAATGGGTTGGTGTCTGACGAAATCTCAGCACGGATTCGAAAATCTCGTTTGGCTTTCGCCAACTTACGTCACCTATGGCGAAGGCGAGATATCCGTTTATCAATTAAGGGACGAGTATACTGGGCGGCAGTTCGTTCCGTTCTACTATACGGCTGCGAAACATGGCCTTTAAGAGTAGAAGATACTCGTAAGTTACTAGTGTTTGACCACAGATGCCTTAGAAATATTGCTCGCATCTGCTGGGATCACTAGGTAAGTAATAGTGAGGTTAGACGTAGGGTATTAGGGAATGATGGTAAATCAGTTGATGAGGTTATGAATCTTCATCGACTGAGATGGTTGGGCCACGTGTTGCGTATGCCTGAACACCGATTACCAGCGGGATAATTGAAAAAGTTAGGGGCGGCCAAACCAAAACGTGGCATCAGTGCCTGAAGACACTAAGTTCTAGTCTGAGCCATGTTGGTAGATGCAGACTACTTTGTTGGGGTCCGCGTGACTATCGTAACCAATGGTTGGAGACTGTGGGTGTGACAGGGCTCAGAATCGATCACAATGGCGTAGGTGTATACACTCTCTGTCTTCCTTTAAACTAAGAGATTAAAATCACTCCACATCTTTCTTTCTTCCTGTACTATCTCCTTGTATGCAATCTTTCTTCTATATATTACCACTACTGAATTAACTACTTCTATGAATCCGGTGTTCATCTTGTTGTGCTAATGCGGTATGGCAACTTGGACCGATGCATATATGTGCCTGGTCCTCCGTCGCAGCTGACTGACTGACTGTATTAGAAATACGAGTATATTCCTTATAAAATTATCAATAATCTGAGATAAAATGTCAACGTCTTATTCTTTAACACTCATGTGGAAAATATAATACAATATATTTAGTTACTTCATAGTCATGTCGACACTCGTGCAAGAGCATGCAAGGATAAGGTGTTCTGATAGGTGTTCATATAACTAAGCACACAGCAATTAAAATGATATAAATGCACCGCCTAACGCACTATCGATAACTTATCTTTTATTGGTATTGTCAAGGCTGATCCAAATTTAGTGAATGGACCGTCATTGAAATGGGTATACTCAGTTAGTGTATTACGGCTCCGCTAGCTATGACACCTTAAAAATTTGATCATTAATAAAGGGTCTTCTTGATTAAAATGATTACTTCTACTTACTCTCAAAGCAAACGTGTAGTTCCTTGTGAAATTGTTGAGCCATTCACTTTGTTGTAGGGTTTTCTTCAGGTTCACCATTTCTATCAGTCACCATTATTTTACTTATAAAATGCAGTAAGGTAACTGATCGATAATTTAGTATCTCTTTAAGTTGAAATTCAATAAAAAGTTCTATCTATTATCCATCACTTAAAGAGAGTACAAAAATATTCCTTGACATTTTTGTCGAAAAATCTTATCGTCGAACAATTCTTTCAAGTATAAACACTAAGCATTCCATATAGTATAAGCTATCAATTAGACGACAGGATAACTCAAAACATAAATATACCATTACCATGATAAATAAGAGCTTACTTGTACATCATCACGAAGTAAATTGTTAATCACCTGGTTGCTTGATGAACTTATCAGATCAGATTGAGCAGAACTAGACTTTGTTTGTGTCTTAATATTTTCTAGAGCTGCACCGAGTCCTGTTTGACCACGACCAAGTCCTATGATTTGCAATTACGTAATAATATGAAATATGACAAATTTACCAAGAGCTGAAAGACTGCTTAAACCGAATGCCGCCATCTTCGCCGCAACATCCGGAGCAGATAAACCAACGTTAGTTCCACTTGTATTGGTAATCGCTAAGCCTGGAATTTGAGCCAAGAGCACACGAACCGTGTATTCAGACAAATACTGCCTTAAAAGACGTACAAGTCCTAACAAACCATGACCACGATTCAACTGGAGAGTTTGTTTCAAGATTTGTTTGTAGAACAAGAATAAATCTGTAGCAGAATATAGAGTATTCTCGCCAGGATCATTGGGATTTGCTTTGCTTTGTACAGTGTCAAATGGATTGTCTGAAAGACAAGTAATAGACAAAAAACAAGTTAAAGTATGATCCGAGATATTACGGCAGAACTCTATATAAAAATTCTGAACATAGGCTTGGGAAACAGAAAACCTGTTTAATCTTAAAGAAGAAAAGGCAAGTTGAATACACAAACTTGCAGATTAATTTAGCTACCAACCTTATAATAATCAGAATGGTAACAAATAAGGAGACTGAAACCTATTTTTAAAGGCTGATTAGCATATACATTCCATCTTATATCTTCAGCAACATGTAATTAAATCAATAAGATGGTTTTATTTCAAAGGCCTAGAATGCACAGTGGTAGTGATGAAACGACCTTACAGTCTAACTAGTTACAAGATAGTGGTTATATGAGCTTGAAAATATTGAAGTGATTTTCAGAAACAGAAGAATAAAAGTGTGAATTAAACTTCTATTATGCAAAATCGGTGGATTTCGGTTACACCTATTGAATTAATACATGTTCAGAAACTCATCTCATCAGGCTCCGAACACGATTAAGGACGAAGGTAACTTAGATGTAGATAGACAAAATGTCTATCAAATGATCGTGAGGAGTGGTTGGCAGCGGAAGCAAAGTAGAAGAAGGTAGAGGCGATAGGTAATAACAGACTTTTCAGATGGGACAGAAAAGTGACATCATCTAAGGTCAATATTTCCTGTATCAATTCAGTAAGAGCTCAGATAAACATGGTAGATGTGGACTGTTGTTTAACGTGACATTTATACTTCCTGCATCAATTCAGGTGAACTACACTTAGTATGTATGCTTTTGCAGTAACTCTACGTATCAGTATATAAATGGGTATATTTTGGTCGAATGAGGATTTTTGAACTTTTTTGGAGAGTTGATAAATCTTCATTGCATCAGTCTTTCGTATTCTTACTTCGCGTCATTGAAATTACAGGGCTCACTTTTTCCAAATATAAACAGTAAGACCGAGGACACAACAAAGGCGACACAGACAAAATATCCAGAACTTCCCCAGTTATCTACTAGTTCAAAATAATCAGAACTGGAGATTAAAACAAGTCCCCAGACTATTATTGAAGTTTAAAAGGTCATAGCTAATCTGGACAGACTGACAGCACCACAACCAGATGGACTAAATCCGAAAATCTTTAAGGATAATAATTAAGTTTTAAAAATTAGATTGACTGAGATCTTAGCTGGGGTCTGGAAAATGGAATTTTCACAGATGTGTTAACCTTTTGAATAGTGTACTCTTCAAAACTGGAGTACAAGCACCAAAGTGAACTACATCAATATGAAATAACTAGTAATAATGTTCAGTATGATGAATACGCGAGTACTTCTATTTCCTTCTTAGTCAAAAGTAATAAAAATTTTATATATTTGAACGTGGATATACGTAATAAAATACCAACGCTGCAATAAAAATCAGATCATATTACTATGGCTAGAGATACCAGAGTTGGAAATTACAGCCGAATAACCATTACGACTTAATCAAATGAATGTACACTTTCGCTTTCAAATAAATAGCGGGAAAAATTTAAAGGCAGTTACACTAGCCGTATTTTCTACTTAAATATCACACTTCTAACAAACGAAATTATTGTCTATTGATAGTATCAGCAAACGTCTACCAAAATTATAGTGTACACAAGTAGCTTAAGTTATTATTTGTTATGTACCTTTGAATTTAACTATGTACACTCTGTGTACGTAAGGTACACAGATACGAGAAAATACTCTATCTTCGATAGACGTACTATGACCTACCTTTAGAAATGAAAATTTCGAAATCATATTAAGTTGCAGAGAATATGCAAGCACTTCAAAAAAACTATCCAAACAACTTAATAATAAAATAGATAAATATGAGTAATATTTCACCAATTTGTAACATGTTACCATCTCTGAACACATCTCCAAGATCTCTGTTCTCCAAACTTGATTTATTAACAGTGAAATCACCAATTAAACGATTTGTCATTTGTTCTCTCAGACCTTTATCCAAATGAACCAAATAGAGGTCGAAGAATTGGTCGAAACAGCTGGAAATGAATATGAACAATAATTCATACAGAACTGATATAAAATCTTCATACATCATTCTTTTTGTCATTATCATTATTTAGAACAACATATATAAGCGAACAATATTGTTTTCGATTAGATCCTCATCAGGCTTTACTCTAATATACAGTAATATTTATATGCATATAAATATTACTGTATATTAGAGTAAAGCCTGATGAGGATCTAATCGAAAACAATATTGTTCGCTTATATATGTTGTTCTAAATTTACATTATGGGAATATTTCAAATTATCATTATTGTCAGAAAGGAGTTACGGAGATTGTTGAATCTCATTGAAATCATGGGACAGTGGAATTTAGACCACCATTGAAAACCTGGAAGCACTGGACAGTCGTCTCGTCCTAGCATGGGACTCCCCAGTAGTGAGCATCCACGACTCCGCACGTGAGAATCGAACCCAGGACCTTCGATCTCACACATAAACCCTTAACATTTAACGTTTGTTTTGAAAATGGCAGCAACTCGCTTCTAAATAGTTCAAGATCCATTAACACCACAACACTTGAAGTGTTTATGTTCACACTTATACGAAGGCCAGTGAGTTATTTATAACGAATGTACCCACCGAAAATGGAATGAAACTAAATACCCACCTAGCAACCAGTTTGTTGGAGAGACTCTTAACTTCACTTACTATGGAAACATTGAATGATTCACTTTAACAGTTCTGAAAACGTTGATCTTATAAACTAGGAATTTGAGATTTTTAACACATGATGGTTATTATATCATCTCAACCTATAACTAGTGAAATGACACTCATAAAGTAATGATGTGGAAAATCCTACAAATATACATCACACCAACGCTGAAACAAAGTTAAAACATTACCGTACATTTATTTCACTCAATGAATTAAAGTTAAATATTCGACGAGTCAATATTTTGAGAATTTTCCCAGTAACCTGAACAGTATTTAACTATACAGAATTATGGACTAATAAGATTTATACTTACTTACCCAGATATAATTCCATCAAAAATCTGCTTTTTCCAATTGTGTTTAGAACCATTTGTTGATGAATCATCACTCTTAGTCTCTGCAGGATTTTTAGATTGTGCATCATCCAAACCATCTTCCTCATCATCATCATCGAATGGATTAGATGAACGCTCCATACTCTTACCGCTGGCTATCATAGATTGTAATTCTTCTAGCGCTTCAGACGTATATGCTTTATTCAAACTGGCCTCGAAGGATAAGGTGCGTTGCAATGCGAAAACAATTAGATTATGGGTAAGTTCCGACTGACGTCGTTTCATAACAGTTTCTAAGCCACCACGTGTAATATGACAAAACTCCAAAACAAATCTAAATAGTTAACATCAATCATTATGAAAAGTTTTTGGGGATAGTTGAATGAGTATAGTATACATGGTAATAAACAAGTTTTCAAACTTAGTTATCAACCATAGTCAACACAGAAATACAATTTGTGTAGGCCGTGTTCAGTATATCCTTACGTATATTTGTTTTGTGAGAAAATGTATAAATATACGGCGTTAAAATGAAGATAGGTTAAAAATATATAGAAATGTACTTTAGGACTATAGTATGGTGATCTTAGGAGAATAATGATCTAAAGAAATGATAGACATAGATTTAGAAGAATATGAATTTCCTCGAGGCCCCAGATAGGCTTCTCTGATTAATACCGACAGACTTGAAACGTAACTTTACAGCCACTTGATGATACCCCCTAATCATTCAACATCAAATACTGTGCATTTTAATCCCAAGCCAATTAAATAGTTATTTTTTGAACTCGATCAGTATACGTTGACCAAACCTGGTGGAATATATAATGTGGCACTAGTTACACTAATGTGAATGAATATAGATTAGTAAAAAGTCACCAGTGGTTAAGTTATTATTTCGAGTGTTTCACTTAACAGTCTGTTAGTTTATCCCAAGACCACATCACCAATCAGAACTGTTTACAGATATTTCTATGATTTGCCTGTTCTTTCCAATCCCTCCGTGTTTTAACCAATAAATCGATGAGACTTATAGCTTAGTTCAGATGAAACTCGAAGCTTTATAACTCCAAATTAAAGTAAACAGTGGACTTCAAAAACCTATGAGGGACTGTCGTTCCAACTAAGGGCGATGATCACGGTCATAGAGCTGTAAGTTAAAAAACGGTTTGATGGGTCAAATAGAAGAGGAGGGAAAAAAGAGCTTTAACAGGGTTGCAAAGAAGAGTTAGGCAGTTGATTGTGTTGCCCTCTATCCAAAAGTGAAACCAAATTCATGCAACAAAATGGGAAAACAAAAGGAGACTGATAATCCAATTCTGTAACCAATCACAAGCACCTTTTTAGTTTGGAGACAGAGATACTATATGGTTGTTCAAAATGAAGTATGTGTGACCCGATAGGTGAAGTTTGAGGAACAAAACCACTGAACTGCATCCTAACAGAATCCAAATAAGCGGTAGTTGATATAGTAATGGTCCTTATAATGTGACGGTAACGTATCTACCGAATATAAATCTGTGTTATGATGGGCCGTGTCCGAGATCCGATACCGACACACAACATGCTACGCGCTAACCCTTCAAACTTACTACTTGAGCTAAAAGACAAGAAGGAAAGAGAAAGTTTGCTGGACTACCGAATGACATTTGTAAGTACTATATATATATATATATATATATATATTTCTACCCCTTAGAAAATGAATCCATTTCTTAAGCAATGATATACAGTCGTTCTCCAGGTCATTTATGGTTGCCATTAAGCGGCCCTCACATCTGGCTACTTCCTCTTGGTTCACTATGTCACTGTCTTACGTAAAAACTAATGATAATACTCAGCCATCCAGATCAAAAGTGAGACGGGGTTCGAACCAGAGACGTAATGATCGAGAGACATTTTTGTTGTTTCTTTTTACTATTTAAACTTGCGTAAATTTAATATATTTATTTACTTTCTGAAGAAGCGACTTCACCTTAGTCACGAAACGTCGGACATTTAATTTTCCACTCATTGAGTTATTACAAATCTATCATTACTCTTATTACTGACAACCTAGCTAATGTGCAGTTTATTCGAAACCATCAAGTCAAACTTTGCTACTAAACTTAATGTAATAAATTTAGATAAACATTGATAAAGTACTACAATATTCCTAAGGTGACTATATCTCTGAACTTACCTTTCAGTCACCAACCAAGAGGGAGGAAACACTGAAATAAATAAACGTTCTAAGGGGACCAAATTAATTCTCAGCCAGTTGTATCGCTGATCAATTTTATCCAACCAAGCAGTAGTCTGTGTTGGATCGAATAGCTCCTTATACTCAGTTAGATGATGAGAGATAAACCAATTTACAATATCCGAATCAAGATGAAAACTCTTAGGGAGTAAGTCAACTAGTTCGCAGGCTGATAAAATCAGTTCCTTGTTATCTGTAACTGTTCGAGTAGCCTAGTATTAGGAAAACAAAGAGAAATGGGTTAGGAGATTACATATATAAAAAGATGTGGGTCGATAAATGATAAATTTATTTTAACGTATATAAGAGCAGGACGATAAGTACATTTACTATAGAAATTATGACTTTAGCTGCATCAAGTTATTTGATAAAAATACAGAAATAAAGAGGTAATTTCAGAAAGTCGGAAACTAAACCTCTATGAATTCAATTGACTCTGATAAGCAAATTTAACGTGAAATACATTAGCGACTTTCGCAGAACTATTTGTCAAACTTATGAGAAACGTAGACCAGACTGAAAATGAAAACTTTAAGAAACGTATGACTGTTTTAAAATTAATACTGACTTTTAAACCCCTTTCTAAATTACCGCGACGATATATAAGTATAATCCACAGAAAATCTTATTCTACTGGTTGTAGTATAAAAGAATAACAAATAAAAGTACCCATAACCAGCCTGTAGTGAGGAATTCGTTACAGAAGTTCGGATATTCGGTAAAAAATCTGATCTTCCTAACTGAGAGGACAATAATGTAACCAATTACACAAAAGAGTACCTAATAAGGTCATAGAATTATTGGAAAAACAAAGCTCACCAGTCAACCCGAACCGCATAAAATGAACTAATTTCGGTTGTTTAGGCATACAGTAGTTAAGTGGAAGTATGGATTCCATATTCTTATTTTTGACTTAAGCACAAATTAACCTTCACTGAGTATTGTTAGGAAAACTAATAATTTGAGATTAATAGCACTATTTAAACGAATATCTTTAAGTTAGCTAAAAAAAGAAAAAAAAATGCGTTTTTATAAGCTTAGATATTGATTGTTTTAATTGAGTAATATTTGATAGATGAATTCAACCTGAGAAATCCAGTGTACACGCTAAAAAAAGGAAACTTTCAACAAGTTCAGACAATAGAAAGCTCATGAGGAGTATAAGAATGCAGGCAAAGCAATGGCACGGCGACTAAAGCACGGCTTACATATTCTACTATTTGAGTATCAATGTAGTATCGCCCCCACTCATAAAACTCCGTAAATGTATCACATTATTACAAGAATATTGACTGAACAATATAATTCCATAAAAACGACCAGTACAAAATGACTATCAAAAAGTTTCAGCACGCAAAGATGCATTTTGTTATATAGCATTTCATTAAAAAAAATATGGATCCTAACATAAACTGGTTCAGCTAAGAACGTCTATATAATTCTTACAACACTTTTTCATTAGAAAATAACAAAAATAACAATTCGGAAATATATTTACATACTGATAGTAACAGTTTGAGTTCCTTAGTCAAACGATCTGCAAGGACTGAATGAATGGAATCCAATTCTCGAGATAATCCGGCCACAGATGACACTGAACCATAGGCCGACAGCATAGGTTGTAATAAGCGTTGAACTTGGGCTAGTAAATTTGATATTTCGGCCAAAAAAGATGGCACAAATCTTTGAAACTTTGTTTTTTCAGGTGGATGGTTTTCATTCATCCAGGATTCTTATTTAAAATTGAAAAAATCATTATAATGAGAATATTTGGTTGAACTCTAATTACGTCGTAAAAATATTGGGGCTCAGAAACTAAATAAATAAATTCGTCACAAATATGACTACTTTCAGGGTAACAGCTAAAGCTACTAACAAACAAATGGTTGAAGTGGTATGGCAACTCGAACTGATGTACATACGTACGAAGTTCCACGTTTTTACTGACTGACTGACTGAACCTGATAACTGAACATCAGGTTTGACATCTCTAAGTAACGTTATACAAAGGATGGGTACATACTCTATGTTCTTAGTTCCACATTCACTTCAGTAAACGAACCAGTTAGCGTTCTATATAGGAGGCATTCACAATTAAAAACGATTATCTATCCATATTAAACCCACTCTCCTTTCACAGAAGCGAACTTAAATATTATCTATCTAAATCACATAACGGTCATTTCTATAAATATGTTAACAATGATATTTGTGGGCTTAAAACAGTGTATAATACCACCTAAGCTTTGGAGGAAATGATTCATCCATGAAACAAATACATAGTTTACTAATTAGAAATAAAGCACCGATGAGTTTACATGAAGGATTTCGTATAAAGATTTTTCTTGTAGCATGAATAAATACATATACAAATATCCCGATCGTAGCTGGTACCTTGATTTGACGGTCAGGCTTGCCCATAACGACGAATCAACTAAGATTTATTAGCTGGGACACATGTTCCTTCAGGTTTTACCATGCCATACAGGTCGGCTAGAGGCAACAACTTAAAGTCCGGGTGCGAAGTCCTATTGATGACTGTAATAGGTGTGACAGCAGTAAGGGTTTTACCCCAAACGACCAGCATCTGTAGCAATGTCATCCCGCCACGGACTTTCATCTCCGGCAGTAAGGCCTTTTAAATTGCGGAGCTAACATATCAAAAACTACCCACAGAAAAGCAGAGCACGACCAACCTCAGGCAGTTGTCCCTTCATGTCTGCGCTCGCTCTCCGAGGTCACCAAGACCACCACTAACTCAGCTTCCTTTTCAGGTCCCACAAGAATAAATATCCTTCGAAGGTATGAGAAACTATTGATCGATTCATGATCTCAACCAAAAAAAATTTCCCATATTTATTTGACTTTGCCATAGATATCCGTTAAGTGATAACGCTCTCATTGTCTGACTTTTCAAGGGTTGATCTATTGAGAGACTCGCTTGTTGACTTTTAGTACTATAGGAATAACACTTATCTCACAGCTATTATCAAGGAAAAGCTTTTGTCATACAAAATTTCTTTAATCAAAAAAAAGCAAACTGATGCTAATCTTATTGCTAAACAATGGTAATCCAGCTCAATAAGTAATTACTGTTATGTGAACTAAGTGTATCACGTGATGAGAAATAATACTAACTTGGTAACCAAACGTCGCTTTATGAAGAGTTCAAGCTGATATCCTGTGAAACGGTACCCATGAGAATTAATTCTAGGCGTTTTAATACTCGCTAAAAACACTTACGTGAATTACTTAAATGCATTTGTTACTTGATAATCATCTTAACCACTTCTTCATACTGCATTGTTCCGTTTTTTTAAGGCAGTTGAAAAACACTTGAGGTTCGTCGGTTTGCTCTCTACTCAGTACAAACAGTCAGTAAACTGTCCAGTTCCTGACAGCTTATACATGAGTACACTATTATCCGCTGGAAATCTTCAAACTCCATTTAAAAGTTTGAAGCAACTTTCTGGCGATTCATTCCTTTCAAATGATTTATGTAAATTAACGTATTATCGTTTCGCATCCGATGCCAGTCTTCCATGGCGAGTTTATGCAACGTTTTGTTGGGCTCTAACAAACTAAGTCAGTATGATGGTTGTTTTGCGTAAATCTCCCTATTTTATTATGTAATCGCTCCCTCCTTATGCATAAAAGTGAACAGACTACTTTGTTGATCGATTTATATAAAATAGCAAACTTATTCATTGCTAAACCTAACATTAATAAAGCGACCTATTATCGGAATTGATAACTTCAAGTGATGTTTGTCAGGGTTACCCGATTTTTCCATATTTGTTTGGCTTTGTCATAGATATTCGTTAAGAGATAATGTTCTCATTATCTGACTTTTCAAGGGTTGATCTATTGAGAGATTCACTCGTTGACCTTGAATAAGCAGATAATATAACTCTGTTCGGTTAAGACTATGACAAGATTCAGAGTCTTCTGAACACTTTAAGCAACAATGAGAGGATGTTGCTTCAGGATCGGTCCGAGTCAGCACCCCAATCAATGATAGGAAGCGACGTAGTTGAGTGTGTCGACTAATTCACTTACCTTAAGTGTTTCATCAGTCTTGATCGGCTGGTGTCTGACGAAGTCTCGTTACAAATTAAGAAAGCCCGATTGCATTTTGTCAACTCCCGTCACTTGTGGCGTAGGGGAAATATCTACTTGCCAACAAAACGGCGAGTTTACTGCGCAACACTTTTTTCCGTTCTACTTCACGGGTGTGAAACACAACCATTAAGAATAAAGGATATTCGTAGGTTACTGGTATTCGATCATAGGTGTCTTCGAAGCACTGCCCATGTATCTTGGGATTACCGAGTAAGCAATGTCTGGGGTTAAAAATAAATTACCAGGTAAGGATGACCAATCGATTGACGAGGTAGTGGATCTTCATCAACTGAGGTGGTGTAAGAGTATGCTGGAAAAGTCAGGGACGGCAAAACCAAAACACTGCACTAGTCCATGAAACCATCGAAGATTTGACTGAGCCATGAAAACAGGTATAGACAACCTAGCTGGACTTCGCGTGATTATCGCAACCAGTGATCAGAGACTTCGAATGACCTGTCTCAAAATCATTTGCGATGCCACAGGTCCATCTACTATTTGTCTTACCACAGCTTGTAAGCTACTGAATTTTTCATAATTTTTTATTTCGCTAATTTAAATTTTCTTGAATTGTATATTCGGTGTCCAGTCTTTTATATTACCACTAATACTTTTACTACCTCTACTATTATGAGATTTAGTCTGACAAATTCATATCGCTGTGCTAATGGGAAAACAACATTCCTGTCAGAATAGTTATTAAAATTGAAGTGTAACAAAATTACCAGGGTCAACTTCTAAAAATGGATTCTGAGCACTGACATTTGTGTCATTGCTCTTCGCAAAAAACATTGGATCATTCACTGAACTTTGTATTCCAAGTAATTCGTTCAGACGATCAATGGCGTTCACGATAAGAATTAAATTATTGAGGGCAGTTATGGAAACAGTTAGGTTACGCTTAGCTTGATCAAGTTGCTGTATATCCCGAGTGATGTCTTGTACCATTTCTTCTGATCTAGTAGCTCGATCTTGAACATCCTGTATTCTATAAGATGAAGTGCACAATGACTTTTTTTACTGAAAATTCTGCTTAAAGACAAATAGAGTAGAACAATAAAAAGTGGTAGTAATATTAGCGATAACATTACTACTCTGTCCTTTCTTCTGTTAAGCTATTAAAATAACGTAACGATGAAAGAAATCACATTTTGAGTATTTTCATGACATATTTTTCAGATAGTAATAACTAAGAAACTAAGGATAAAATTGCACAAAAGACAACGATTTTTTTTTCAACTCTTAAAACATGCCAGAACAATAACAAACCAGAATCTAAAAGACTTTATGATTTGTGGCTTTAATGATTAAATGCAAAATGCTAGGTTATTTAATTACAACAACCCTAATAGAAACTTGATAATGAGTTATAAAAAGCTGACAGTTAAAATTGTTATGACACATCGTCAGTATATTGGTAAACATATTAGTAAAAATAATGATTCTGAAGATGTGTCTGACACTCGGTAAATAAAGTTATTGGAGTTCGGTTAAAAACCAAAAGATATAACGCTAAGAGCCAATTTTTACCATATGGAGTAAATTCATATAGTACCAAATGCGGATATCTACTTTAGTTGACGTCTGGAATACTCATTGTACTACATAAAATTACGTTAGTTCAGTGCCTTGTTTAAAACAACCTTAACATTTAAAAATGAGTCACATAACTCATGAAAACTTTGCAAAGATTTGAAGTCACAGATTACTACTGAAGTGGTGAAATGATTATTCTTTGTGATACTATTAGATAATCTATTCTCTTCTTTGAAACATTCATTTTGCCAACTAATAGGGTTTAATATGGAAAAATATAGGAGGCAACCAAACTAGTTTTGTAAACCGACTATATTTACTCCACCATTACTATGATCCATAGAATACATCGGACTTTGAGAGCAATCACGTAGAACTCGTGAATATATGCAAGGAACTACTTAGATACGAAATTAGTCCATAATAAACATATTTGGTAGAAATCACACACACAGCACCACAAATCAATGATTAAATGAGTAGAAGAGACTTATGTATCCATTTTGTCACCGTGCAACTGAAAAGCTTACTATGGAATTCCATCAAACCTGAAGTGTTGCAGGTAAACAGATCAAACTATGGTAAATTCAGGAGGATAGTTGTGTCCCGAAACTACTTTATTCCAATATGAAATTTTGCAAATGTCAGTAAACTTTCGACGAAAATTGTTGTTCGATAAACACTGGCTGAGTACATTTTGACTCAAAGAATCTAAGTTAGTTTTGATAGGAAGCATAATACGATTTAACAACAAAGGATGAGAATAAGATCAATCCTGCTCCCTACCAGTCGATCTTTCACGCAACATTTTTGTAGTATAACAGTAGCTAGTACTTTAGAGGCAAGTCGTGTGGTTTTAACTTTATTGACTTTAAGTACATTACTTAGGGTCTGTTTGATGATATGTACAATAATAGGTGCATTTCATATGAAATGTAGACAGAACTGGAAGCTGCATTAAGAAAAAACAAACTCGCATGCAAAACGAGTCACCCAGTGGCAACACTGTGGTATTAAGCTTGTGTCGTACCAATATTACCTGAAAACACGGATTTTACCTGGTTCAGGTAATTATGACATTAAATTATTCATATTCACGCATTCAGAACAGCTCAACATGCCAAATCAGTTATTTCAAATACACAAACAATTATCTAAATTTGTGAATTTTTTCAATTAAACGTCAATTAATACTAGTTAGGAAAATCACAAGGTAAATGGATGGTATAATACTCATAAAAGCCCCTTATATATAAGTGGAAGAAGGATGAATCGATGTATAGAACACCGAGGAAGAAATTAAATGTTGGGTATCATAACAGTGATGGATTGATAATTTTAACACTTGGCCTCCAGTCATCAGTTTGGATACGTGAGGCGAGTAGTATCACCTGTATTCACACTACGTGGTCCAAAGTATGGTACACAAACCACCACTTGGTAAAAGAGTTGGTGATTATGAAAGCATTTACTTAAATATGCATTTATCTGCAAGTGACACACCAACATAAATACAAACCAACCTAGAGAATAGTACTTTTATCATATCTTTTGCATCCTGAACAATCTCTTGTCCTTTGTCCTCTGTTTGCCAGCGACCACGTAGTAGGTCTCTAGTTTCATCGTCTAGTTCACGAATTTTTTCTTCCGCTTCAGCTATCAACTCATCTATATTTGCCAGTGACTGTTCGCTGGGAAATCTCTAAAAAATATGTCATAAGCATTTTGTAGTAAGTTAACCTCATTAATATAAGAAATAACATTAAAATTAGGATCGTCTAAACTGTCTGATTTTAAATTAAGCCGGGAAAGCGCTTCCTCAACTTCTTTAGAGTACGAATTCGGATAACTGGTATCGCCGTCTTGATTCATTTCACAATGAATATCCATCCTATTATGAAAAGAACAAAAGGAGGTAAGTTTGGAAACTACAAGGAGAAAGCAAAATATATCCTACCATATTATAGTGATCTAAAGCCCCCTACATTGATTCACTTTGCTGATTGTGGTGGGGTCGTTTAGATTAGTCAAATAATTTAGGTAGAGCCAAAAGTTGTATGTCGTTAAATGTAGAAATAGAAAATATAGCAAAAATACGAGTACCATACGAAAGAGTAAGGTAAGAAGTGTTCTTTACAAATACTTAAAGCAGCTGCGTGACAACTTTTAAAACAATTCTTCAGATCACATAAATAAAAACCACAATACCCAGCAGTCACGAAGATATATAGACTGAGCTTAAGTATTACCTAACAACAATTCTTACCCACTAACATGATGGTTACAAATACTCCCTAAATCTTTAGTCCCATTTAGACTGGTTTACTTTGATATAAAGGAAATTTCAATACGTTACTCACCCACAGCATCCAATGTATCGCTCCAAAGAAAAACGATAAAATCAACTAGAAATACACCTTATTTATATCCCAATTGACGAACTGGACGTTGTAGGTTTTGGAGTCAACTTCTAAATGTCAAGTGCAAGTTGTGACATACATTGAGTGTTTTATCATACCTATTAAGGCATCCAAAACACTACAGTCCGTAAGAAAATCTTTTTGAATTCATTATCGAGCTGTAAATTAGAACGCATGAAAAATCTTAAAAAATCGTATTGAGCAGCAGTTTATTTCATGATAATTTATGGCTGTAAAATGTAGTCTTCAAGGATTGAATACATTCGTAGGTTACTAGCATTCACAAACAAACGCCCTGAAAGCACCACCCTATGCGTTGTCTATTTCTTTAGACCCCATAGGAGCTCAAAAGCCAGGTTTAATAGGTCCACGTAATAGGTAAAAGGGAACCACAAAGAACTAGTATATATGTCCCATAACTTTTTCTGAATCGTTGACATTATGCTGATAATACTGTCGATTTTGTTTTCTTAATATGTCCAATGCAGCATCTCCATAACTTTTCTTTGAATGAACAGCTTAAGAAAGTGTAATGCATGTCCTTCATGAGTTGACTTCCTACGATGAGGCTCAAATGAAAAATAAATCGGTGCTTTACCGGTTCATTTAACTCAACAGTGCATGGAAGTGCTTGTTGAAACAAAAAACTTCCCCATTCCTGTGTACCAAAATTGTCGATTACAAAAACGTAAAGCAGTTCTCCTTTAACTTTCCTTAGTACTAACGAATAGTAGTGATGTACCAACAATGAACCAGTATTTTGATCTTTGAAAGACAGTGGAACAGCATAAAAAAGGAGTGGAATAGCATGATTCCGAAAATATCTACTTTTCGAGATCTATATAGATCATCGCTTTTCTTAGATTTAACTCGTGAAGAGCGCACTTAATGCGACGAGACTATAGTTTATGGACGAACCAATTGGATATAAGATAACAAGACTCGGATTTTCGCGTGACATTTATCGTCCCACTTGGTTTAATAACGCTTTGGCATTTTAGATGACATCAGCTTGTGATGAAAACCCTAGATCTAATTCCTAACTCTAACCAACTGCAAATCATAATTTTCATTCTTTACACTGTTTTGCGACACTCATGCTATAGCATAGAGGACGCGTACATGACGGTAACGATCAGTAAAGAATGTGTCCCACAAATCTGTTATCGGAACTCAACCACTGAGATCTCATAAGCTACTAAACCTTTTTAGAAGAGAAAATCGTGTACATAAACCAAACGACCTTGACGGGCACAAATCAACCTCTAAAGTCGACTTAAACTTTTCTTGACATAATTAACGAGCTGTCTGTTCTTTGGGAAAGCGCTCTTAGTTACAAGGAGTTATTACCACTTCTATATTTCTTCTGTAAGTGAAGGAGAAAACAATTAAGCTAGCAAATGAAGTGATACCAAAAATGAAGAGCATGAATGAACCAAACATCTTTACAATCTAGATGATATCATCTTGCGATAAAAAGTTTAATAACTCATGTTAGAAATGTCCGCCAAGTACAAATGTACTGCTTTTTATTTTAAATCGTTTAAGTATCAGATACTATTTTCTTGCTGGCTTAAATGTTCTTCGGGGTTGTTCATGCACTACTTTCACTGAAATAATCGAGAATTAATGTCCAAGAGACAGTATGTTTTGCTGACTCAAGAATGTTAATCGGAGGAGACACCTGAATCACACAAATGAGGTAAGCCCATCTCATTTTCACCGGTACAAAATGCGATACCGAAATCTACCAAGCAGTATATAATGGGTGGATTATCGCCATCGTTTACCATTGTCATTCTGCACTTACTCGTATTGAGGGAAGCGTGATTTAGGACGGCGCAGTTGCTTATCCCGCGTAGATATTTGTAGAGAGTCAAGATATTGGTTAAGAAAGCTAGTCCTTTCTAGTTCTTAAGATCATGTACACACAGAAAAATTTGAAAGTCCATTGAATTAGGTTGATCATTGTTAAACAGATAGATCAGTTGCCAAAAGATTGAGCTTTGCTGCACTTCAATTGTTATTGGAAACTAATTTGATAGAGTGGAGTAAACTCCGACAGCTTGTGATCTACCTTTTAAGTAACCTGAGGACTTATACGCTAGACACCCAAATATACCCATATAATCCTATTTTTAAGACGGAATACGATAGTCAACCCCGTTCAATGCTTTAGAGAAGTCTAGGAGACAAATATAGACAGGACTTTTGCGTTTCAGTCAAGTGGTCTATTCACTACAGTAAGTTAACGGGTTCTCTACTACGTAGGTCGTCTTATTGTGGCTTCGAGTGAACAGATTTGCTGGGGATGAAGTTACGGAAAGATTAGTTGGAACGTCTTTCCCTGATATTTACCATTGTGAATAGTAATGGAATAGGTTGGAGATCAGAAACTTCCACTTTCTTCCATTCTTTGTGTGAAGTTAAGAGTAGTACATTTCCAGTTGAGCGGTAGTTTACCTTGACTAAGGAACACTTAAACAGGGAAGTGTAGAGAGTCCACACATTACTTCAGGACTACAGGTTGGATACTATGAGATCCAGCTAAATTTGTGTGGTCAGGAGCCCCATAATCCCTTTGATTTTGAAAGCTACAAAATCTTTATTTAGAGTCATGGAATTGAGTAGGATAGCAGTATGTACACAGAGGTGCGTTAGAGTAGGGATGGCTGGATCGGAATCAATTGGCTAGTGGCCTAGCAACCACCTTGTCGGAGTTGTGTACAATTAGTAAGTTGGAGTCAAGGGGTTCAGATTTATACGGACCTCCGACTTTATTGAGCTAATCTATCTCACCTGATCTTCTTGTTACATATATTGGATGATACCTTATAGCATGACTTATCGTCTCTGTGATTGGGACAACGACAGTTGTTACAGACAATGTGTCTAGAGTATGTGTACACCAAACCTTAGGCAGCAGGACTACCTATAGGGTTTTGTACATGACATTCAGAGGGAAGTTTGCCGACGAACGAACTAGATGAGGATGTTCCTCAGAAGATTCTATGATTCACGCACACTGACGGAGCCGTGTTTGTTCAATCAAAATGATGTGAGAGCATGATTGACGTTTCCAAAAGGGTTCAAGACCAACAAGTTGGTCACTTCAGAAACATAGTCGGTGAAAATGCGATCTAGACCGAAGGCATGTCCGTCTGTTATCAGTAGGAAAACTGAGTCAAATTTTCTGTCAAGCTGAGTTTTTCCATCAGGTCCTCAATATCAGTTTTCACTGTAGAATCATCGTCATTGGATAAAAGACTAGAAAACCTGAAGTCGCCCGCCAATAAGATCCGTTAGAGATTCATTACCAGATCTCCTCCCATATCTTTAAGGAATAAACCGTTCCAAACTTTATCAGCTCTGAAGAAGATGAATGTATGAAGTATAAGCCACCATCCACAGTATCAGAACTATCATTGTGATACATCTAGAAGTCGTCGGGAGCAAGTTGAGTAACATCTTTGGGCGACCATGTTGTACAGCAAGCCTCCATATTTGGGTAATTTTCGTTTGTCAACTCTTTGATCTCTTTAAATTCCCGTCTTAACCCTCTTATGCTGATGTATGCACAATAAATAAGCAAATAACGATATCTAAGTAAACCAGATACGGGGCAAATAATACTGAGATGTGTCACCACCATGTAACGAACCAGCCTTAAGTGCGCTTGCATTTTTAAATTTTTGAAACGGTGAGATTCGATAGACCGGTGTGGGTTTCCATACATACGTTATTCCTTAGGCGTATCTAAGTAAATTCTGGACACTCCCTGCTGAACTGCCCAGTAAACATTTTAATTTCTTTTGATATTTATTATACCAGGGCTGAAGGATGGCAATTTCTACGTCAGGTTGGACCTTTGCTATATGAAGTAACTTAGCTATTGATTGTGAGACGAGGTTAATCGGTCTGGAAGTTCTTGTGTTTGCATTGGAGAGTGAATAAGTTAATTTGATTACTTCCAAGGTGTATCGCCGCTGATCTATATCACGAAGAAGCTCAACATTCGTCCGTTCATTCATTTCAGCAGCCCCGTGTAGTAAAAGTGAACGGTTTAACCTGGATGTATGTGACTCAACATACCTTACTGAAAAGATCTTGTATGTTTTTTATTCCGGTGATATTTTTCTAGTAAACAGTAGGTGAGCACAATGTAGTATCGACTCTGTCAGTTCAGTATTGTTTAGTATTGCTCTCAGTCTCCCGGGGACGTTTTAGAGATGAGATTACCGGAGGATATACGATTAATTGTAGATAACCAAGGCACTGAATTCACAGACTTTCAAGTTTCACACCTTTGGGAAAGCATGGTTTTCCTTTTCTTTTAGTGATGTTAATTTACACGCTTTGATGTTGAACAAATGGGGTTGGTGGAGTAACATGGATCCTAGCAGGTTTAGATGACTATTTCCAAGCGATTACAGACAGATAGATCAATGAAATGAAGTGTTTTTAATTTTTTCAGAGTTGTATTTAAAGTGAAAAACATAACTCAATTGTTATTCGAGTCCGATATGTCATTGTTCTTTTGAATAGTAGGACAGATAACCTTTATTATTTATTATAAAACCACTTCTAATTAAGATTCCGTTCATTCTTCAAGACATTATCCTGTGGGGCTGATACTGTTTGTTTAGGTAGAGGGTTATATTTATCGATCACTGAATAAGTAAAAACTCTCTCCGTGCTGTTATTCTATTTCAGTTTTCTTACTCTTTTGAGATCGTCTCAGAGATCACTGGCCATGGAGAGAATAAAAACGTAAGACATGCTAAAACACAAATTAGTGTCAGTAATGCATTACGACGCATTTTATGATAAGATAGGTGGTAAAATACTTCAACCTTTTGGTCTATCGCTCTGTAAGAGGTAGCGACATCTGCACTAACTTATAATCTAAACTCTGAGCCCACTCAAATATATCAGTATCCACAATAAAAACATGAGCTTTCTGCTTGAAAGTAGCATTCTAAGTGAGGACTTACAAAGGTAAGTGACGTTCAAAGTGCATCTTCAACAGGGGATACGAGAGCTCTACGAATCGATAGTGGCACTCGAAAACCCTATTACAACTCCTAAATTCCAGTAATCATTTGTTTTCAAGTAATGACTGACAATTAATCCCAGGTTGTTTTGTTCGTGCATCCGTGGAACTTATGTCCAACAGGTCGCATGTCGGTATCTGTTACTATGCTTGATAACCGTTGAAGCACTCTCACAGGCGGCCTATAATAAGGTGGCTTTGTATATAAACTAAAAACGATGGCTGTAATATTGGAGCTGCACAGGTGTTTGTCTCAAAAGACCTTGCGAGGATTTATCTCAAAATGGTGTTTGTTAAACCTCAGAACACAATATTTTCAACAGAGTTGCGCGACTTATACTGTAGAACATTGATTATTCATATTAAGTTTTGTTCCTTCAGGCCATTTGACCTTTTAATATTGGGAAGCAATTAGAAGCGATGTCCTATCTTTCCCAAAGAAACGAATGTGTCGACCACCTGTAAAACGACGCAATACGTTTTACATTCGAGAGCCACAATGATTGCAACAGTCCTGTCACTACACACCTCAATTAAAGTATTTAGAAGGCGAGGTTGACCGATATATCTTGTATAACAACGTAAAATGTAGTATTGGGTGTGGTACTGAAACAATAAATATAGGCATAAAATGAAGTGCACTCAAATCGATATGTTAATTTCAAATCAGAGTATCTCCTCAATACGAAAATCTATTTGGCCCCAAACTTATTCAGGCGAGCATTTAGCTCCATACACCATTTATTAAGAAAACTTATCCTGTTCACATTTCACACCACTTACAAACGTACAAATATTCCCAACCTTACTATTTCACAATTACACGCAACTAAGTCTCACAAAATAAAAATTACCCTCACTGAAATAACATAGTGATATCAACATAGTCAGACCTATTTTAATTTCTATTGTACTAAAAGTATTTTGCTTTGTCTCCTTTGAACTATTTGAACTTCTGTTAGTGTTATTCATCACTAATTTTCATTCTCTAAAGAAGTAACTCACAATAAGTTATGAAACGTCAAACGTTTAACTCTATACTGATTAAAACATTATAAATATGCTAACTTCATTATTAACAAGAGTCCCAATTAATCCGAAATTATGAAGTCAAACCTTCGTAATGATACTCGTATAATACCGGTAGAGGAAATGATGCTTCGCCTTTTGGAAATCTGACGTAATTTCCGGCTTCATTTTGAGTT